ACGAAACCTAGCAGACCTCATACAAGACAGAGTTCAGCCTTAGAACCTGACCCAGATGAGCCACTTGACGAAGAGGTAGATGAGTTTTATTACTCTGATCTTCCACAAGTGCTAAACCGACCATCCTATCAAATAGCGGTCACCTTGCCAAATAGGGAACTCATAGCAGATTCAGGACCAGTAAATAATATTCAACAACAAAACACACTATCCTTACACACAGGGGATCGCAAGGAACCAACCTTAGCTGGTAATGAAAATGCTGAATTGTCCTTACTTGACAAAGGCATCAACACCGAAACATTCTTACCTGACAGAATGAGTGAAACTGCGACATTCTTACCTGAAAGAGTGAAAGAAGCAGCAACATACTTACCTGAAAAAACGAAAAAAAACGAAGTATACTTACCTGACGTAGAAACGGGGGATGAAACTAACACAAACCTACCTCAATTGGATGGTGTCCTAAAGTCGCAGCAACGTGATGTAAGTTTTGAACCCATCATACACGATCAGACACATACATCTGAAAAGACCAAAGTCTTAGAGAATAGCTCATCAGCTCTGTCGGAAACAGAGAGCTCACTTCGTCCTGTCTCAGTTGAGAATCAAACCGAAACGGATGAGCATGATACTGTGCAACCAGAGATGTATGTCAGGAGATCTGAACGAAGTAGTCAGCCTCCTCAAAGACTAACTTACTCTCAATTGGGCAATCCACTAGTGACCGTAGTTAGGTCCCTTTTCCAAGGACTTAATAAAGCTTTTATTGACTCTCTTACTCAAGAAGTTGTGTACCCCGTAGAAACAATGCACAGGGACGTGCATGATATTTAATGGGGGAGGATGTAACCCAGAAGCTAGAACCTTAATGAGGTATTAACTAATTGGCTTACTAATATGATCCATCCTCAATTTAGATAAAATATAAAATATAAATTAAGGAAATTAACAATACTAATTAATAGATATCTAATTAACTAATAGATAATTTCATAATGAATTATTGGAAGGGTGAATAACTAAAATAACGAGTTTAATATTAAACATCGGTTAAAACAAGAATCTTGAACATCCCTAACAGAAACAGAAGAGGAAAGCTGTATACTATTGGTCCAGGTGGGAATCTGAAATTTCATTGGCTGAGAGAAATAAGTCCCGCCTCCGCGAAATAAAACCGTGCGACGCAGCTGAGCGAGAGGAGAGACAAACGGCTGTGCAGCACGCAGATACAGAAAGCAAAGACTGAGCGGTTAGAGAGAGAGAGAGAGAGAAAAAAAAAACAACGGTCGAGGCCGTGAAGAACCCTGATTTGGGTGCCGCATAGATAGAGGGAGAGGCGGACTTGACTCCTTCTAATAAGAGCTAGGAACTTGGAACCAACGCGGTGAGTAAAGAAAAAAGAAGAGAAAAAGCTAACGATGCAACTTAAAAAAAAAAAAAGGAAACTTAAATAGCTTATCAAATTAATTCCATTCTTATAGATTTGTGTGGAGACGACAGAGTGAACCAATCCTCTGTAGGAGGGAACCGTTGGAGCGCGTTGGTGAGTGAATGAGATTAAATTCAGTAAATTATTAAATTCAAAAAGCTAATTACAGCAACCGAGGTGACAGCAGTGGGCTGCTAGACGTTAGATCCCAGGAGTTAACATCTCAAACTACCAGTTAACGGTGGTAGGGCATATAGGAGTTAACGGCTCAAACCGCCAGTTAACGGCGGTACGGCATATGGGATTCCCAGGAGTTAACGGCTCAAACCGCCAGTTAACGGTGGTACGGCCTAGATGTACAAGGTCCTCAGGGGCGTTATAGCTAACGCCATAGAATTAGCAATGCGTCCCTTAACCAAACATTTAATAATAAAAAAAATAGATAAATAAAAATAAATAAAAGCTAACTGATTAGGGAGGAATTATTTTACAAAGGTGGACCAAAGGACCAGAATTTATATTTTGTTTAATTTTGTTATAGAAAATTTTATTTATTTATTTATTTATTTGTTTGTTTATTTATTTATTTATTTATTGTGTTACAGATATACAAGGTGTCACAATGCTGTATAGAAACACAACTAAATGTATCCTTGTTGTCATGAATGTATTTCTTGTCGAATAGTGTAGAGTAATAGAATCTAACTGAGCCTATTGAGCTGAACAATTGTTGTCATATGTAATTATATTTCCAGAGCTACTGAGAATTATTTTAATAGACAATCAAATTGATGTTATGTTAGTTGAACTGTGAACCCAAACATGATTGGCTATGCCAATAGAGTGAAGCATTTGTTTAAGTCTGTAAGACTTTATGCTGTGATGTGACGAGAAGGGTCGATGCCAACTTGCTAACAGTCCTGTTGTTTACAGGCTGGGTTTTTTTTTTTTCCTTGGGTTTGATCCCGACTCCTATGATCACTCACTTGGAACGAGAACTGGATTTCTTCCTGACGAGGGAGATGGCGAGCCTTAACCACTGAACGAACCAGGACATCTCAAGTAACTGAAGAGCAGACTGCTCTCTTCTGTGAACAATCTCAACGGTGTGGTAGGAAAAAATCGCACCACCGGACTCTGACTTTCACCCCAAGCGTGGGGATTTGACTTGACGCCGGCTGACTTGTGACTCATATGATCAAATCTCATACCGAGCATTTTACTATTGTCGATTGTTTTCATCTGTTTTTGTGTGTTATCTTTATGTGTTATATTTCCCATTATTATTAAAATTTAGTATATAAACCGTTTCATGCTATACCCGTGACTCCAGTCATTCTTAAACAACCTCCAATTCTCCCCGAACCTAATTATTGGCCCATTTGTTTATTTTTTCTTTTAATTATCTTATTGTATCCTGTAATCCGGTTACAATAACCTTCTACCATGCTTTACCCAGGACCATGACTAGGGCTGCACGATATTAGGAACACCTGCGATACGCGATGACAGTGATTAATATTGCGATGATGATATGACTTACGAACAATAAAATGTAAAAAAAATAAATAAATAAAAAGCAATCAGTGGACCCCAAGAAAAGCTGAATCAGCAGAAAGAGCAGAACAAAGCTGACTCAGGTTTTTGCTAGCCATCCAAATCAAGTACCATCCGCCTCCAGGGCGGGCATCTAAGCTATGAGAACCCACCTGACTGGCCAAAATAGTGAAGGGCTCTATTTGATTAGTCAAAAACGTCATGCTTCCATTTGATTGACAGAATGCATTATGTGTAGCAAACATTTGAGCTAACCATTCATTGAGTTTTTTTCTGTCCTTTGCAATATGCGTATTGCGCATGCTGATATTGCAATGACGACACATTTGCGATATAATGTGCAGCCCTAAGCATGACCTACTGCCACTCCACCCAATTAAGGATTTTTCATACAAAAATTAATCCAGACCTCAATATACAGCTATTCACAGCCAAACATAGTGACAACATGCTTTTGCTAACACCCATCTATGATGTGACTATGCTCCACCCAGAACCCCAATACGCTGAAACCATTGCCCCACCTGAGACTCCGTAACTAGTGTTGTAGTCCAGACCACACTACCCGAGATCAAGACTTTACCAAGATCAGAGACACCTGAGACCGAGACAATACCATATATTTGAAAGAAAAATTATAATAAAACAAAAAAATAAACTATTTTTTATTTGTAATTTTTTTGTTAACAAATTGGTCTTTTCTGCATGGAATTACACCATTAATCAAATCATGGAATTACACCATTAATCAAATCATGGAATTACACCATTAATCAAATCAGCAATAACCAAACTAAAAAGTATGTCATGCCATGCCTGAACATCGTGTGATAAAACTTGTTGCTGAAGACCTGAAAGTCCAGTTTCTTTCCATGAAAGCTAAGATTTAAGGAGAGCTTGGTTACATTTTATAAATATGAGGACTTCCAGCATTCTGTGACCTAAATGTGCACGGTGGGGTCTCATGATGGTGCCTCCTCTACTAAAAACCCTCTCAACTGGTGCAGAGGTTGCAGGAAATGACAGAACCTTCAGTGCCAAGTTGTGGAGTTGTGGGAATCCGACTTGGTTTTTGCACCAGAAGACCAGTGTATTATCAGTGTCAGTGTCCTGTATGGCATCAAAGTATTTGCTTATCTGTGTTCTCATGCTTGAACCCTGGCTTGAGCTGTGCTTTTTGAGAGCTAAGTAGTGAGAAAGAAGACGTGAGTACTTCACTGGAGGTGAGTCACTTGATGGATCACTAGCTGCAGTTGCGGCTGCAAACTCTTCACCTTCGCTGTCGATCAAGTCTTCAACCTCAGAGATCAAAGTGTCTGAAAAATACAACAAAATGGAAGAAAATGACTCAGTTAGATAGAAAGACAGATAAGGTTTTTCTTTACTTTGCTGACGTTTCGTTTGCGACTGCAAACATCTTCAAAGCTGACACTGATGGTGGCATCACTTCCTACTCCATTTATCCACGGGCAGCAAAGGATGTTGTCGCCCTTTGCTGCCCGCTCTCCCCTCTCCGATGTGATTTGGTTGTAGGCACAAGGCCGCAGGCCGAGTGCCGTAGATAATCACACCAGTGCTGATATTCAGCAACAGCGCACTCCCTCTCGTGTGATATTGCTTTTATACAACAGTTCTACCTGCTCATTTTATTTTTATAGCAACAATAAACAACAACAGATTATGATTTGTTCATTTATTTAATCATTTATCAGGCTCTGCTAACACAAATAGTCCCAACACGAAATGGAGACTCAGACAAGGCTGTTGCTAGGCAACACAAACATTTTCTACAATAACGGTTAGAACGCCCGTGCACAGCAGAGCTGTTTGTGAACAGTCCCAGTGCTGTTATGGTCCAATATCAGCACTCTTGGAAAGTCTCTTGACCAATCAAATCACTCGGTCGGAACTAGCTGTTGTATAATATGAGTTTTATCTCCTGTAACAGCAGAATAATCCATCCCAGCATGCAGCTACATGGCAGCATCGCTATCCAGAGCTGCTCCTGGTCTCATCTCAGAATGAACTGCTGCCTCTGATGCTGCAGGACTCCTCTCTCCTGTCAGAGAGGATTTGGGTCAGTCATTTTATGTTTTGTCATCATTCAACATTATCATATCAGAAATTTGGTTTCCTGCAGGATTATATCAAGTTTTATTATATTTTATTCAGTAAACTGGTAATTTACACATGCAGAATGCAAAATAAAGAAAGTACACCCTAGAAAAAAATAAACAAATAACATTTTGAATGAATGTAGAGGTGATTTATACATTTCTTCTTGTTTTTTCTCTGATGTAGATCTCAGCCTGTGTTGGCATGAAGTCTGAAACAGAAACCAGATCTCAGGACTCATTTGTTCATCATGTTCAAAGCTGCATCAATGTCATTTATAAATAAAAGTTATAAAATTTGGACCAAATAAATGTTATCAAGTTATCTTTCAAAGTCTAAACTACCGCAGACCAGTTGGATCTGGCCACTTCTGCTATCTAGTATAGATTAAAACCACAGTAGATGAATCCAGTATCAGAACAGAGACTGGCTGTACCTGCACTTCCTTTTTGGACATTAACATAAACAGCCCCCTCCTCTGTTTCAGGACACCTCACTGTTGAGAAAATCACACAAAAGAAAAATATTTAATTGCATATTATAGAATTAGCATTACCTTATTCATATTTTCAAAGCTTTTTTGTTTTTGTTAAACAAGATAAATAATACCACATATTACCATTTTCAGAGGCCTTACGTGGTTGGATTGAGTCATAGAGAGAAGAGTTACCTGGAAAAAAAAATAATATTGAAAGAATGTATCTACCAAGACAGATTGGAGGCAGAGGACTTACCCAACTTGAGATGGCTTACAACACAACAACAATGGCATTGAAACCCTACCTTGAAGCAGCAGACGATGCCCTACTGATCCTCGTTTGTCAACGCGAAGCTCGCAAGAAGCTGTACTCTGTTACAAAAGAAGCTATAAGACAATTTACAGGAACTAAACGTCCCAGATGTGGCAAGAAAAGAGAAAGAAACAGTAACAATCTTTGCCAAGAGGACCACAAGGGAGGAAAAGAAATGGGCCCAAAAGAGGATGAGAGAAACATGGGAGGAAAAACCAATGCATGGACAACACCCCTTCGAGAGTAAAAAAAAGCCGACGTAGAACAAGATCATACTCATCAGTGGCTACGCAGTGCAGGACTGAAGGCAGAAACTGAAGGATTGTTGACAGCAGCACAAGACCAGAGCCTGTCAACGAGATCATACCACCACAAGATCATGAAAGATGGAACAGACCCCATGTGTAGAATGTGCAGCCAATATGAAGAAACCATTGACCACATTCTCTCAGGCTGCCCCACTCTAGCCAGAGCTGGGTACATCCACAGACACGACAGGGCAGCAAGCTATGTCCACTGGAAGATCTGCAAACATTTCCATCTACCAGCTGCAGATAAGTGGTATGAACACCAACCACCAACAGTGACTGAAAACAACAATATCACAGTGTTGTGGGACATGCCAATCAACACAGACAGAGAAATCATGGCCAGCAGACCAGACATGTTCATCAAAAACAAAGAAGAGAAGACCTGCCTCATGATTGACATGACCATCCCATCTGAAAAAAATGTCACCACCAAGGAGCTTGAAAAGCTATCAAAGCACAAGGACTTGGAAATAGAAGTCACAAGAATGTGGGGGATGAAGACAACAACAATACCCGTCGTAGTGGGCGCACTTGGCCTCATCAAGAAGGGACTGGAAAAGAGAACAAAACAGATTCTTGGAAACCCGACAGTCCAAGAAATCCAGGAGATTGTTCTTCTCGGAAGTGCCCACATCATCAGAAGGACGCTTTCCATAAACTAACCCTGAAACTGCCTTAGAAGCGTGGATTGATTCTGGCACTTCAGTGAAAGCATACAAATATACAAATAAATAAATACATATATAAATTAATACATATAAACAAAATAATAATAATAATGTTTTGTTTTTATAAAAGTAATAAACAAGTAGCCAATAACTGATAATCAAAAGTGTTTCATAGTTAAGGTTTTTCTTTAAATCTGCATTGACATGTTTTTTTCTGGCGGCCGCAGCAACAAAGTTTTAGCTCAGTCCGACTAGCACACTTTTACCAAATGTGTAGAATTTTCAAAGACGTAGATGGTTTGAAAATAATCCATTTCTCTATCAAGAATAATCATTTTCATCTGTGTGTGTTTTTTTAACTTATATTCATAGATTTTTTAAGCATTCCAGAAAAAGAAACATCAAGCAGTAAAAAAAGAGATAAAGAAAATCGGAATAAATTAGAGATCAGACCGTGTAGCGGAGAGCTGTAGGTGTGACTTTCAGTCTGGTCGGCTCCATGGTTTGTGTCAGAGCTCTGACTGCTGCTCTCTGTCTGAATCAATCTAAAATATAATAAATAAAATATATTATTATATGTAAATATAATAAAAAGTATTAATAACATTCAGATGCTAAATATGTTGGAGATTAAATAAATCAGAATTTTTTTTACCAACCTGCAGCACAAATCTGTAAAAAAAGACATTTATGGTTAATTTATTTTATTGTTGAAATCCTCCTGCTGCTGTTTGTTTTATAACATCAAAATGTTTCTGTGTGTTTGATTAATGAAAGAGTTTTAGATGAACAATCTGATCCAGGATCAGCAGAAGGTCTCACCTTTAGAGTGTCTGCAGCGCCACAACAAGAGCAGGAGAATAATGAGGATGAGTCCAACAACTGGTCCAACCACCAACAGAACAGCAGATGGAGAACTGACAGGACAGGACTCAGATACTGTAAATAATAAATATTATAAATAATAAAATAATCAGTAATATGCAGGTTTTATGACATCATCTCTGTTTCCAGATCATCATACGAGCTCAGCAAACCCTCCAGCACATAAACACACTCAGTGTTTTCTTTGTTCCTCTAAAACAACAAAATCACTTCCTGAATAAAAGCATCAAGTGTTTTAATCCTGCTGACCTCTGACTGACATCCAGCTCTCTGGTGACTCCTCTCCTGAATGCTCACACTTGTAGAAACCTTCGTCTGACTTTGACACAGCAGAGATCTTCAGCTCCCCTCTGCTGTCTTGTTGGAGACGTTTGTTGTTGTGATAGAAAAACACATCAGAATGCAGTTTTTGTTCTCTCAGTCTGCAGCTCAGAGTAACAGGATCTCCCTCAGACACAGGATGGAGCGGACTCTCAAGGATCAAACCATCAGGATCAGCTGGAAAACAGTCAGAGAAGATGAAGCTTTACATCGGAGATCAGCTGGCCTTGCACTTTAGACAAACCATAGCAAGCTGGTGGCATGAAAGGTCAAGGTCAAGTTTATTTCTATAGCACATTTTTAACAGCTCACTGCCCCAAAGTGCTGTGCAACAAAACACAAATGAGAGCAGTCATTCAAATAAATCAAGAGACAGAAAAATAGTAAGAACAAATAAACTAAAACTGGCCTAAAACTCAAATGCCCGAGCCAACTCACATTAAAAGACATATTAAACTATGTGTCTAGAAATTTAAAATGCTCAAGGGTATGTGCAGTCTTTCTGTGCAAGGGCAGGTTATTCCATTATATAGGTCTGGCCACAGAGAAGGCATGGTCACCAGCCCACTCAGAGAAGCTCGTGGAACATTTAAGAGGGCCTGGGAGCTAGAGCGTATGGACTTGGGTTAGGTATTCCTGTCCTCTTGTGCCACTCAGCAGGTGTGCTGATGCATTTTGAAATAATTGACAACGCCAAGGGAGTAATGGTCCAGACCCAGATAGAGGGAATTACAATAATCCAACTATGAGGAGACTAACAGCTGGATGACATGTTCAAAGACATCAGCAGGAAGGTTAGAATAGAATAGAATAGAATATTTGTTGTCTTCAGGCCCCTTTTATCCTGCTTAAAGAAAGTGGTTGGCCTCCTCACATGTCAGGCAAGTTAAAAACTGAGTTGATTACCTTTTCTGCTGTTCTAATGACCCTCTGGAGACTCTTTTTGTCTGCTGCCAAGCAGCCAGCACACCACACAGGAACGAAGCATCCAAGAACACTTTGATGATCAAGAGCCTCAAGAAGTGAGGTGCTGGTGGGCTTTTTGACCAGAGCAGATATGTTTGACATCGTTTGGACTGTCGCACATGCTTTGAGTCGGTTAAACAGACTCCGACTAGCCTGGCAAGTCATCCCGTATATGTGAATATATAATCTGGCCACGGCCCACGACGGAGAAAGAGCTCAGTCGTGGGGTGGACTCTACGGTTGTCTTTCAAACTATATTCACACGCTGTTGGACAATGAACAATGTGACATACACACTGCTACGGATGTCGGTCAATGGGGCAGTCTGCCATACAGCATCAAAGAAGATGCAAAAACGTCCTTTTTCTAAATAAATGAGTTAAGTACCTCTATTTGTGCTTGACTCAAAGATAGGCCCAAGTCTAAATAGTGCAAAGTTGATGCTAAAGCCGCTTCAAATGAGCCGTCGCCATCTTACTCTGCACCGCCGCATCATCCCGCCCACCAAGCCAATAAAGTGCTGTGATTGACAAAACACAATACTGCTCAGCCCAATGGAGCATGGCTAGACTAACATGTGGAGCAAAATCTATTTTGCTTTGGGAAGTGTCCGTCTAGATTTCTAGGCCAGACTAGGCCAGACTATGACATCACCACTCTCAAAACGTAAAACGCAAATAAATTGGTTTAGCAACGTTGTGTAAATGCAAAGATTTAAAAATGTGTTCTCTAAGTATGACATATGCACAAAAAATGAAATGAAGTTAACAGAAAAAGTTTTTTAAAGGAAAACATACGCTGTCCAGTGATGTTGACAGCATCGCTGAAATCTCCAGATCCAGTCTCACACCAGTGCTTTCTGCTATGAAGCCAGGTAATGTTACTGGTACACGGTGAGCTCTTCGTTTTTTTCCAGCCACAGAGTTCAACCAGGACTCCTCCTTCAGTAGCCATCATCACTCTCCACTCAGCAGACGTTCCTTCACAGCTCAGCGCGACAGACTCAGAAACGAAGTGTTGAGCCCTGTCAGGACTCACCGAGAGAGACACGGCTGGAACGTGTCCTATTAAAACAGAAAGTCACTCATTTAGGCTCTGTACCGTAACAATAAAATGGCTTTTCTGTAATGAGTACCTGGATGAACAGTTTTATGATCCTAAATGGTCTGTATTTGGCATAGCACCTTCTAGAGTCCCAGAACCCCCCAAGGCGCTTTACAACACAATCAGTCATTCACCCATTCACACCCTGTTGGGGATGAGCTACATCTTAGCCACAGCTGCCCTGGGCCACACTGACAGAGGCGAGTCTGCCGTTTACTGGTGCCACCGGTCTCTCCGACCACCACCAGCACCAGGCAAGGGGGGTTAAGTGTCTTGCCAAAGGACACAACAACGACAGACTGAGTGGGGCTTGAACCTGCAACCTTGCGATTAGGGGGCGAGCACTTAACTCCTGTGCTACCGTCGCACCGCCCTAAAGCAGTGGCTGGCTGTAGTTTGGTACCTGGGCTTTCAGTGCAGGTTTACCAACTAAATCCACCGCTGACGTTACAAGTATAAGCCACCAGTGTAATACAAATAGTAATATGGTATTATAGAGGTCTTGTTCAACGCACATAGGTCTGGATTTGGTCTATATATCCTTTCATAGCAGCAGGATGTTCGTAGAGTGCACAGAGGGTGGGAGGGGCCAGAAAAACTTTAGTGACGGATGTCTATCAACAAGCTGCTTAATGATATTCGGCTTTTCTAGAAAAGTTTGCCTTGAAAATGGAATTAAATATTTTCTGAAACCAAATCCATTTCTCCTCTGTCAGCCAGTGTTTGCATAAAATAAAAATAAAATTATAAAGTATGATTGTGTGCAGATCACCGAGGATTTAATGTGCTGGTAAAACAAGGTGGCATGACGTAGCTTGGACCATCCAATTGTGTCACGGTCCGTGGTGAGCCTCCTGCATGTAACCCTGTTTTCCTCTGAGCATTGTTTCAGGTGGGCGTGTCTGAGAGTCTCCAGCTGCAGCTAATCCTGTCATCAAGGTCCAGGGGATTTAAGGAGCAGTGTGACACTTCACTTCGCCGGATGATTACTCTGTTTGGGTAGCTCTAGCCTTTTACCTGTCTCGATCCCGTGTTTTTCTAGTTCCTGTGCGCTTGTTTGATCTTATAAATTTTTCTGGATTTTCTGTTGCCAGAAAACCTTGAATACTCTTCCCTGCTCTGCTCCAGGCTTCGCTCCACAACCCACCATCTCCATAACCAGCTTGGACTCCTGCAAACCAGATCACGCTGTCTCCTACCCTGGCCGCCCGCTCTCAGCCGCTCACCTGCTCACACCAAACCTCTGCTCCTACCTCCCCTCTGGTTCAACAGTTCCTTCACCTTCTGGATCCTTCCTGCTCACCCGGACCTGACCTAGCCCTTCCTCAGCCTCTCACCACTACCTACTCTCCGTAAGCTCCCTTCTTAAGATTATCCTGTCATTCCCACCAAATACTCACTCTGTCTCCCTCCTCAGAATCTCCTCCTGGAATCTTGCTGCCAGCCTGCACGTCGTCTGTTCCCGTTTTTCCCGTTACTCTTCATCTAATAATAAAGACGTTTTTTACGTACTCACCAGTTCTCAGTGTTGTGATTCTGCGTGTCATGGGTCAAGAAACTGCCACCCACCATGACAAATTGGAGGACAGAAAATGAAGAAACGAGTCTCACGTGTGAGCTGCTCAGTAGTTGACTGCCAAACTCAACACGTTTTTGTTCTATCAAAAGGCCCAACTACGAGGGACCAGTGGTTAAACTTTACTTTTTAACAGCGCTGTTCCCAAAACCCTCCCCACTATTTTCTGTCTGTGCTAACCATTTTACAATTCAGATCATCTTCAACTCAATCAGGGCCGTATCAAGGCATTTTGGGGGCCAAGGCAGAGTAGGCCCCTGCCAGGTGTTTTGAGTTGAGGTGCTTTTTGTTGACCTGGTCGCTAGGAATTACTGGTGGTCCCTCATTCCAGAGGCAAATCTAGGGGAGATCGTGCATTTGTGGTCCTTGCTCCAACTTTGTGCAACGGTCTACCTTTGACTCTTAGGCTGGCGCCTTCCTTCCAGATGTTTGTCACGTCTGAAGGCTCATTACTATGTCCATTCACCACTGGGGACTGCAATTTTGTCTTGATTTAAATTGTTTAACAATTGTTCTCATGTGTTTATGCTGTTTTATATTCTGTTTATATTGGTTTTATTTGCTTATTGTGTTCAGCACCTTGGGCTTCTGCTAAAGATTGTGGAAGGTGTTCTGTAAATGAATAAATAAAATGTTATGCTTTTTTATATTAGCTGTTGCACTACATTCCAAAGTTAAGAATTTGTGTTTATTGATCAAGCTACATCACAGAAGTGCTCTTGTTAACAGCGTTGTTAAATGTTCAAATAAAGTTAATTCAATAAAAAATAAGGAAAATCCTGGATTTGTTTCCTGGCTTGCTTTTTACTTATCGGATCGGGACTCAGTATTGATAGATGCTCAAAATCAAATTACTCAAACTCTTGAGGCAAAAAATATATAAACTGATTGGGACATCCCTAGAATCAAACGTCTATATGTCATTATTTTAAAAATGGATAATGTGACCTCTGGCTGCGAGCAAATGCTCCCTCCTCAGAGTACATCTGAATGCAGCAGCGATTCATTCCATTTCCTACTTAAACTTCTGCTCTTTTCTGACATCCACCGTCTTGTTGAACCTAACATCTTCAGTCAAGTAAACATAATTAGAGCTCATTAGTTAAAAAAGATTTAGAACATAAATAAAATTCATGATTTTATCATGTCAGACAAACAACTAACTTTTTAGACTAAAAATGGCAACAAATCTAAGCAAACCATAACTTCTACTCACTGAGAGAACAGACAGAAACAAACTGACC